AAATACGAAATCTATTTACTTAGTACAAAATTCTTAATGTTTCTATACTATTCTAGCCAGGCCTACTCTCTTTCACCTACGGCTACACCACCGATAGTTTCCAACCACTGCATTACCGGCTGCCATTGCTCTCGCGGCGCGACTGTTGCACGCTTGCACTAATATAGAGAGTATATTATGCTCTCTATATATTATGCTCTCTATATATTATGCTCTCTATATTAGTGCAAGCGTGCAACAGTCGCGCCGCGAGAGCAATGGCAGCCGGTAATGCAGTGGTTGGAAACTATCGGAGGTGTAGCCGTAGGTGAAAGTGAGTAGGCCTGGCTAGAATAGTATAGAAACATTAAGAATTTTGTACTAAGTAAATAGATTTCGTATTTAGTTAGCATTATATTTTATTGAAACGCTTCAAGTGCCTGTGGGCTGAATGATGATGATAGTCACATGATTGAAAATGGCACCGTTTGATTGGCTGATGAATTGTACATTTGGGCGCGCGTAGTAGAGCATTGTATAGTATTGCATTGTTCGGGCGCACATTGTATATAGTTGCGCGACTCAAATAAGTTGTCGCACTTTTGCGAAAATTAACTTTTATTATATAATGTACTAGCGGGATACCCGGCGTTGCCCGGGGAAATCAGTGGCGTTACTCAGTTGGTGACCGCTTGGTTGAAAGAAAAATACCCAAAAAATATAACTTTCTATCTATCCATGCCATCCCATCCCACCGCATCCCATGCCATGCCATGCCATCCCATCCCATCCCATCCGACCGCATCCCATCGCACCTCATCCCATCCCATCCCATCCCATCCCATCCCATCCCATCCCATCCCATCCCATCCCATCGCATGCCATTCCATGCCATCCTATCCCATCCCGAACATTAAAAAATAATAAGAAATCAAAAGATAAAAGACATTAAATATAAAAAATAAAAATAAAAAATTAGAAAACTAAAAATAATACATACTAAAGAGGTAGATAAAGGGAAAAAAATGAAAAAAGGGGAAAACAAGTTTCCCAGCTGGGACTCGAACCCGGAATCCCGGTGTAGGAGACAGATGTTCTAGCGATTAGGCCACTGCGCCGTTAAGGGTATACAGGGTTCGTAGCGGGTCTTCCAAAGTCTTATAAGTACTTATTTTGCCAAAAATAAAATAAGGGCCCTTATTAGTACTTATTTTTGGTGAAATCTTAGAAAAGTACTTAATAGTCCTTATTTTTTCTCGACTTAGAGTAAGAATTGTTGTATATATAATACGGAATAATTAAATCTGCCGTGTAATTGTGTATATAAATATTGTTAGTGTACTTTAATAGTCGGTGATCTATCAGAAATCGCGTAAAAAAGTCTTATTTTGGCCTCCAGAAAGGGTCTTATACGTCCTTATTTCAACATGTGTCTTACTACTCTGAACCCTGGTATACCGTATGGATTCACACGTACGTGATGTTAATTTGTACGTTAATTTTCTCTTGATGAATAGAATTTTTATGAACTTTTAACTTTTTAACTTTTTTAAATTTTTGCTTCAGCCAGAACCACCTCCCAGACGTGGTGATTCTGAAAATATCTTTAGTTTTCCTCTAGGCTGCGGAGTTCTCTAGTTATGCGAGTACGAACTAATTCGGCTGAACAACTTTATATATATAGATCTTGGTATGTAGTTTCTAGAAATATCACTGAACTCATTCACGAGAGATGCGAGCAAGCTGACTTTCCTACCGCGCACACACATAGCCTCGCATTAGATACAATAATGTAACCCAACAGGGCTCGAATTAACCGACGGCACCGAAAGCAATTGCCGTCGGTGCCCCTATCAATCGCCGTACTGCCCCTGAAAATCCAACCCAACCGACGGCAGTCACCTGCCTTGCCCTTTTCTGTAATTGCCGTCGGTGCCTCTGGCTAGACTGGTTCACGGCCGCACTGTTTGTCGCAGAGCGTGTACATTGTCTAGCCGAGCGTGAGGCCGGATTCCAGTCTACCCTTCTGCAAAAACAATAACCGTAAACGTGGCGCGGGAAACGACGCTCGCGCAAGAATGGCCAGCTGTGATCTGTATGGTGTGTAGCTTGCTAAGGGCAGTAAATTTAGAGAAATTTTATTAGAATTCATACGATGACACAAAGTTTTTCATAACAATGGTCTGGGTCTGGGCTAGTGAAAGTTAGGTCAGGGCTAGTGGTTTTCCTCAGCTACTAGCCCGATGGTCTAGTGAAATAAAAAGTTAACGTTGAACCCTGTTACTGTACTTCCATTAGCAGAGGTTGATGTATTAATTTGTTATGAGTTTTCCTTTATTTTACAAAAGTGCCTTGGTGCCCTTCTCAAATTGTGAGAGTTGCCTTGATGCATTATAAAATTGCCTCGGTGCCCATCCATTTTAGAGAAAATTCAAGGCAATTTCTCACATGCCCCCCCAAAAAAGCCTTGCCCCTCTCGTCACTTAATTCGAGGCCTGTAACCCAACAAGAGTAGGGCCTTACTGTTCTGGTGTTACATTATTGTATCTGAGCCTCACATATGACCGGCTATATATACGACACGCACCAGTATGCGCAATACCGGAGGAGGGGGCGACTGGCTGTAGTGTTACTAAGTGTATACAATGCGTGCCAATACCGGAGGGGCCCGGTCAGGGGTTCGTACTAGTCGGTTGGCCGCCATGATGGGTGTAGGAATGTGTACTTGGGCGTACTTGCTTTCATGATACACGTTATATTGTCTACTACGCAGAGACTGACGCAGAGTTGAGAGCCCAGACAATGGGGAGACTGGACAATGGCGTACTGCAGTGGAAATACCAATAGCAACACAAATTAAGCAATGAAGAGGTCTGTGTCATCTGCATTCGCACACGGTAGTGGTTCAGATGCAGCAAATCCACAAAAAAGAGCAGCTTTGGACAGAGGAATCGGGCGATGTGTCAGAGTCAAACGGACAGGCCCCTACCTGCTTGGTGAGAAGGTGGTTGCCGTTTTTTGGCAAAAAATAAACTATCTATTCAACGAGGGGTAGTTTGCAGTAGCACAGGAATTTCAGAATAATTGTACCAATTTACAGTAAGCTCAGAGTGAGTCACTGAGTTCGTCTTACAGTTAAGCTTGCAGTTTGTTCTACAGATGTGACATTATTAGCTCAGCTAACGAAGTCAGATGCAGCTTGTAGAATCGCATGAATGTCTATCCGTGCGTGCGTGCGTCCGGCCGTCCACCAACAGTTACGGCACAAATCTTAACCGCTCGATGCACGGTCTTGATATTCGGGACGTCGGGGGGGATTGGGGAAAAGGCTCAAGATGTCGAATTTGGAGGTCAAGGGTCAAAGGTCAAGATGTGTCAATGGAGGGGGAATATTTCCCCCTTAACTTAAGGTATAGGAGGAAATACGGAATTGTGGCACAAATCTCAACGGCTCGACCTACGCTCTTAATATTCGATGTATAGTGTGATGGGGAGGAAACCCATGATCACCAGCGCGAAATTGGAGGTCAAAGGGCAGTGGGGGAAAGGTCAGATATCATTAATTTTCTGAAGACATGGTCTAACGGACCGAGTGCAAAACTTTTTGTTTAAGCGCTGACCTACCATTTTTATCACTTTATTGAAAGGACCATGAAATGTGCTTTCCGCTGACGTGCGAAGAGTAAGTGTCTGATAACCTTTTTACTCTCAAGAGGAGGGTTAAACATGGCTTTGTTGACTGTTAACAAAGGCCCCCCCCCCACCACCACTACGCTCGCGCTCGACGCATATCCATGATAACATGTTAATATAGCAAAGTCTTTAAAGTTACACAGCTGTATCTTTATTACTGTACGTACTACCGGTATAGCAAAGCCTATCATAGATTTTAGATCTGTATTAGTAGTATCCTAGATATATGCTCTGGGCGCGAACGCGGTGGTGGGAGGGCGCACTTGATTTGGTTGCCAGTGAGTTTATCAGAAGAATACCAAGCTACAGTACGCGTCAGTTGAGCGCTGTCGCTCTACGGCACTTGTTTTTACTGTTGCTGTTAGGATTAGAACAGGGTTAGGGTTAGCAGGAACTGAACTTACATTAAAAATCTATACACAGACATGCTCTATATTCTCTTGTCTAGGTCCGAGACTTGGCACTTCGCCAGTGCGCAGCATTGTGCAATGCTTAGCTAGGAAAGATGGCAGTGACGAGTTTTACACAATAAAGGTTTGTTGAACAGGTGGCGCATATGCCTACTAGTTGCAAACGATTATTGTTCAACGTGAATTGCTCGTGTGACATTGGGTATGTTGATTGTCTGTACCAATTATTGATGTACCAAAACCTGTAGGAGCTATATCACAGCCAAATAACTGGCAAATCGCTACTATGCATGTCTAACTTAATTAACTCAATATGTGATACAGATATTGTCGCTACCGTTGCGACCAGAAGATGGAGAGGAAACTCAGGATGACCGGCAGGGAAAGATGTTACTACACACCGAATATTCCCTGCTGTCTCTTCTGCACAATCAAGATGGGGTTGTACATCATCATGGCTTATACAAGGTGGGTATAATATGGGCAACTGGAGAATGCAATACTATTCAATGCAAGACATGAGAATACAGTGCAGTACAATGTACAATATAAGGCATTAGAATATATCACAATACATTTGAAGGTATTGAAATACAGCATGATACCATGCAGATTAGTTATGTGTAATGCAGTACAATATGATACAGCTAATGCAATGCAATAAATTGCAATATAATGTGATGAAATATGATGCAATGATGAAGAAAAACTGATTTGAAAATATAAACATTAATCGTTTTGTTAATAGCAGTACCATTTGAATAATGGGAGGGAATTCATTTAGTATTTACTCAATTTTAATACAGCACCATCAAGTGTTAAAATTTCCAAAAAAATTGCATCCCTCATTAAAATTACATTGAACATTCCATTATTGTGAATCTGATGAAAGCAGGCGCACGTTTGCTGTTCATCTATTGTTTTATAGCGTATAACAGCAGGAACTCCTATTAATTTTTATGCAGAAGTAATCGGTAATATGTACACTGACAGGTGAGTCTAAATTTGTCTGAATTTATTTATTTTTTAATTTATTTGAGAAATAATCGTTTTAAGAAGACAGTTTATCAGACTTTTCACTATACAATCCTCTTGACTCTGTAGGATGAAGCGTATGAGGAGGAGGAAGGTGAGGGTAGCAGCACTGTGATGGACGTTGTCCCTCGGCGTGTGCGCATGCACAAGCGTCTGTGCCTCGTGCTTGACTGCCTTTGCGCACACGACTTCGATGCGAAGACGGCTAACCTAGTCAATCTCCAACACTATGTCATCAAAGAGAAGAAGCTTAGTGAGAAGGAAGCACTGGTAGTCTTCTGTGATGTAGTTCGTGTCGTACATAATCTCCACCGGGTAAGAAGTTCTGTCGATGTACGTATTCGTATATATAATAATCTATGTCTATATCTACATATACATCGATATCGGTATCAGTGATGTAATTAGCGAATACTCATCTAGCTGCAGTTAGGATGTAAAATGCTTGCACGTCACTGGCGTGATAACTGGTTTTTTTCTCGCTCGCTCTCTCTCTCTCTCTCTCTCCCTCCCTCTCTCTCTCTCTCTCACTCTCCCCCTCTCTCTCTCACTCTCGCGTTTCGCAATGTAGAAGAACATCGTCCACCGTGACCTGAAGCTCGGTAACATGGTGCTGAACAAGAGCAGCCGACGCGTGACCATCACCAACTTCTGCCTCGGCAAGCACCTTGTGTCAGAGAGTGACCTGCTGAAGGACCAGCGCGGCAGCCCGGCGTACATCAGCCCAGACGTGCTGAGCGGTACATGACAAGTATAGCGCCCCCCTCCGTCCTTGTCGCTAAACCTCTGCGAGGATTTGGTGATTCTCTGCTCACATATTTCAAATATTCTGGCAAATATTCTACTGTTTATCTTTTCTAAGTTTACCAGCCACTTAATACTGTGATACTTTTAACTGTGATACGGTGACACTTTTAACTGTGATACTGTGACACTTTTAACTGTGATATACTGTAATGTAAAGTATATATATGTAAGTACAATCAGGAGTGTATTATAAGGGCATTGTCCACCCATTATTTACTCCTGCTCAATAATGGCACCGATGTGTTAATGGTTGTGCATCCATCCCATCTTGTGGCCATGCACAAAACCAGCGTCCGAGGTTCGAGGCTAGGCGAGGCATCTGGTTCGACGTGTCTTCTGCCGTTGCTTCACGTCGCGTAACACCTGTCCGTCACCTGTTGCACGCAGGTAAACCGTACCTGGGCAAGCCGAGCGACATGTGGGCGCTGGGCGTCGTGCTGTTCACCATGCTGTACGGACAGTTCCCGTTTTACGACAGCATGCCGCAGGAGCTGTTCCGCAAGATCAAGGCAGCCGAGTTCCTCCTTCCAAGGTATCGCTTAGCGTGGAGTGTGGATGTTTGTAAGGAATTCGCTATCGGTTGAGTAATACGTTGAGTCTACGTCGGTGACTGCCCCCAACACTACCTGCTCCCGTGCTTTCATGTATTAATAATCTATGGTGAAATGTAACAGATTCACATTAGTGCCTGAATAATTGGCTTACCAAAGAACCAAAAGCAATCGATATCTATGGAATGGACTTGTCTTATAATGACGGTGTACTTCTGTACTCACTAGGCAGCAGTAACATATGCAGTCATTCAGAAATTTCTGTTGATACTGGTGACACGGTCGTATCATAATTCTTACATTCTTGTAAATTGTTCTTTCTAATTGTTAACAAACCAAGTTTGTAACTGCACCATGAATAACCCGGTATGAATTTCTAATGCTACAACGTACCGACAAACCCCTCTTGTCCTTTTATTTTGTGTGTTTTACGCACGATTGCAGGCAGTAATAATAAATATTGTAATTCACTGCATGCATTGTGAAACAGCGGTTGTGTATAATTAATCATCACTGTTCTAACGAATGAACTAACGAATTAATCAGCACACGATAATGTAATAAACGCGCGCATTTGTCGTGGCAGCGATGGCCGGGTGTCGGAGAACACGACGTTGCTCATTAAGAAGCTGCTTGTGCTCGACCCGATGGCAAGACTGACCGCGTCACAGGTGCTCGACTGTCTCAGGACGACGATCAGCCTCTGGTGAGCGATGCATAGTTATTACTATATATTACCATATATAGCTATTTATATATACCATATATATATATATATATATACATACAGCTCCTCGTTACTCGCACACACACACATGCGTCGTCGAACATGCAGATACTTCAGCTGGTATTATCGCCATGCGTGGGCGGATGGTTGTGTATGTGTGCGTGCGTGTGTGCGTGCATGTGTCTGCGCATGCATCTGCGCATGCATCCGTACATGCGTGCGTAAACGTGAACGAATGCATGCATGTTTGTTCCTGTGCGTAGCTGCTCATTTCAAACGTACGTACGTGCACCTTCACATAAACATACACATATAATTGTATGTAAATTATTGACGCAAGGTAGAACGGAACACGAAGGAAATAATGTATTGTACTGTTTCCTCTGCAGAGGAGCACTGTAATGGACATATAGTTTGATTGGCATTGCTGATGTGATTTGCTTAACATGGTTGGTTGAATCCTGTCCTACTTTGGACGAGTGCACGTCATATAGTAGGCTTTTCTTATGTTGGCAGGCATTCACTAAGTAGAGCTGGCCCCCTACAGGTGGTGCCAGACATCGATGATCAGGAGCAAGCAGCTAGCAGTGCACAGGTGGGTCAAATCCCTGCGATGTCAAAGCAGTCGAGGAAAGACTTGAATGAATTACGCATGACCGATTACTAGCACGTGGTTAATTTTTTTAATGTCAAAAGCATCTGTTTTGCATAATTTTCTTGTGGGTGATTTGATGCACATGGTGTCTCCTGATTACTTTGCAATTGTAAAAAAAAAATCCTTTTTATAATTTTGTTTAAAGATTGCAAATATTATCTGTACACTGGCCAAATTATGACATAGGCTACCTCGTAACAAACCACTGGCCATGATTAGATGTCACACTAATTCTTTATTATTCACTTCTCTTCTTCCTCAAAGTGGTGGTCACTTGCTCATGTCTGCTCTCTTGTCACCAGGAAGAGAAACCAGCCGAGAGCCAACTCAGTGCTTTGGAACAGACGCTGCAGAACTCGCAAGGACTGGTGCTGCCCCCTCCCCGCAAACTGTCATCCGTCAGCGTGCGACGGCGACCTCACACGTTGATTCGGCGCGTCACGCAGGATGCGCGACCTCTGACCTCGCAGGAAATGGTCGTACATCGGCACCTCTTGCCACCGTAGTGGCTAGCTCTCATTGGGGTTGACGATCGTCTACCATGGCGAGAAACAGCAGCGATCGAATTATCCAGCTGTTGCAATACACATTTTGAATTATCGAGTGCTAGCACTCCCATGTAAATCAAAGGTGTAGAACAGATTATCAGTTGATCTGCATGATAATGTCTGTCTACATGTCTAATACTTGCATGCTGATATTTTTGTGCTGTTATAGCATCTTCTCATATATTTTATTTACTCGGATATATTTTGCATAACTCAGATATTTTGATGGAGAACTCGAAAGATCACATAAGCAGATTAGATTCATGTTTCGGTGTTTTGTTACATAACATGATGGCACTGCAAAGAGATGTACAACATTAGTACTGATTATGATAGATACATTCCCAAGTACCGATCATGATACGTTATAGTGGAGGTGTCTTCATCACTTGGTAATGATGTAATGATGTGCATGATGTTGGATTCTTTGAATACATATTTTTTTATTTAAATGAATTATTGATGTTCCCATTGACGTTTTTACAGCGCCCAACAACAACAGCACAAACAATGTAGCGTCTATAATAAGATGGTACCAAATGAATCAATCCAGTCTGGAACAGCAAGTGCCAATATAAGATGTTACCTTTCAGTTTATTTTAAAACGTTTTCTTCGCTACGGTGAGGAAAAACCATTAGTTACAGCCAGTTTGCAGCAGTGTCAAAAATATATGTATATATACCCATAATATCATACATACATGTCCAAGGTCTACCAAGTGGCTATGTGAAATCGAAAGCACAACTCGTAACAACGTGCGTTTGTGTGAAGCAGTTACAGAGATTATCCTGCAATGATGTGCAGCTGCACACGGCATTTAGGTACCTGCACATCATAAATATATTGCCCTCTATTGGCATTGATTAAGAAAAAGGCTCTGCTGGTTACTTGTATGAATACGAGCATGGAGACAATACATATATTTAATTGTCCTATACTAAATATCCTTACTCGATGGTTGTCTCGCCTAAAGAATCGGTAGTGTGGTTAATGAATCTATTCATCTACCCGATATATGTAATCATCTTACATCATCACTTCTACGAACCTTTTTATAAATGAGCTAGAAGTTAATTTTTAATTAATTAAAATTTATCTTGAATAATACTTATTTTCATCGCCCAAAGAACGAATTTCATATAAGAGGGTCATCACGACGCTGGATCATTATGACTCCGAATCTACTAGAAATATATTTTATCTGTATAATCACAACCGATTTACACTCGCATTCAATAACAATGATAATATCATATAATAACAGAAATATACCATAACCCCCACACTGATCGTAGACGAGGCAGTGCAGAACGTACGGGTGCATAAAATACAGTGCAGAAACTAAAACCTGTGCGATCTACGATCAAAGAAACGGCTTCGGCAAATAATGTAAATGGCCAGTTGTCAAAGACATCACAGTATAGTCTCGTAATAAGATTCATAACTAAAAGGTCCGCACGCGCCACATCGTTTGCAGTCTGCTATCGCGTGCATTAAATATAACAACCTAGCAACTTCAATTCATGATGAACACAAACTATCCATTTTCGTGGGAGATGTTAAACAAAACTTTTTTTTCAATAGAAATAGACGCGTTAACTTAAACGGTAAGGCATGTACGTATCATAATGCGCATTCCGATGTATTCAGCGGAGATCGTGATGCACTGCCGCGGCACACGTATCGTCACAGCTCACAGCACACACTGATCCCCTTCACTTATCTACTGAAGGCCACTGTGCTCGTACCCGTCAATACAACTAATAACCCGAATCTCTCTATTAGCATCTTGAGCAGAGACATGCATCTCAAATACGCTACAATCTTAATAGCGCAATATATTCACGTGAAACTGGTCCCAAATAATCCATTATATCCAGTCGACCCCTTTTGGCACAGATTTGCATGTTCCATCAGTGTGAAAAAAAACACATGTACAAGAACTGATTGCAACTTACAATACCGTCGAAATGCCGACAGGGCACATTAATCGAGCAGATCCTGCTTGCAGGCATGTATTTTCAAGAAAAATATAACGGGAAACTGGTTTGACCCAAGTTAAAATACAATTTGAACACCCGAGTTAATATTTTCTTTACTCAATTGCACGAGTTAGCATGATCCAGGTCAACTCCTAAGCGCTAAACGTACATCGACTACAAATAGTCAAAGACAAAGCAATCTCCCCATGCACGCAGTCAGCCCAATATACGGTATGAAAAATATCCGTAGAGAGTTTAGACTCTCCCAAGAGTGGAATTTACTCAGTATGCAGTGGACGGGAACATAGTGAACTATATTCTGCACGCAATCAACCTAACCCTAACCTAGAAACGTTTACTAGTTTAGTAACTAATCGGACGAGTTGCAATAGAAGTAGACAACCTTCACTCAAGTAATATTATAACAAGGTATTCTATAGCAAGAATTTGAGAGGTAGGTGGAGGTCTGTGGTCACCACAATACTTGCTATCATAATCAGGACGAGCTAAAAACGCCAATTTTATGCGATTGCCACTTTTCCCTCTACATTAATTTCACGTGAAAAACTTCACTCAGTTTAATATTGCAGAAACCACAGATCAGGTTCTTACAAACCGTTGCACAGCCGCACACACAACAGGTTATTTCCTTTTTCAGCCTCGTTTACCAATATAGTTTTAACAGTCATGTGTTCGACTGGTGTGACAAGAGACCAGTGTTTCTAACAAGGCAATCACGGTTAAATTTAACATTTGCACATGCACACAAGCGATAGTTATTGTCATGGTGAGCTGAGTGAAGTTGGAGGGAAAAACAACTGGCAGTAACTATACGGTTAGCCGATGAAAACTATAGCCTCACTTGTGAGTTTTCCAAGCCTCTTTTGAAACGCTAAAAACGTCCTACAAGCCAGATCTCAGCGACGCGATTTTAGAGAAGAAAAAAGTCATATTTGGTCCAAACACAACCACTCGAGAAAACAGTAAGGACGCTCCTCGGTGCATTCAGAAAAAACCAGAGCTTCCCGAAAGCCGCACACGCATAGCCGGCAATGGCGAAAACCTTCCACTCGGACACGCCTGCCCTCACACGCGTCAAACTCCGCGTGCCAACAGCGCCCCCTGGGATCGGCCTGCCGAGGTCATGACCCCAGCCGCCGTGGGCCGCCCTACATCATCTCGAAGCGGTCGACACGCAGCTTGGTGTTGCCCTGTCGGATCTGCTTGAGAGTCTTGTACTTGTCGCGGCCCTCACGCACGTTGTCGTAGTGGATCTGGTCGGATCGCGTCAACTGCGTGTCCTCCTTCTTGCTCGACAGCTCGATGCTCAGCGTCTGCAAGCACGACAAAACGTGAATGACGGTACTGTACGACGATCGTGAATGACGATACTGCACGACGAAGCGTGAATGACGATACTCCCTGACGATCGTGAATGACGGTACTGT